ATAATAATAATAATAATAATAATAATAATATTCTATGGCATTAGCTACCCCTCCCAGTTTGGTGTCATCTGCATATTGGATAAGCATCCCCTCAATTCCTTCATCAAATTCATTTATAAAGACGTTGAACAACAACGGGCCCAGGACAGAACCCTGCGGCACCCCTCTTGCCACTTTTTTCCAGGATGATAAGGAACCATTAATGAGTACTCTTTGGGTTCAGTCAGTCAACCAGCTACAAATCCACTTAACAGTTGTCGTAGTTGCAGTTGTTATTTATTAACTTGTATACTGCCCTATACCCACAGGTCTTAGGGCATTCTCAGTTACCTCGTCCAGCCCACATATTAACAGCTTCTCCGCAAGAATGCCATGGGGCACTTTGTCAAAAGCTTTACTGAAATCCTGATACACTACATCCATAGCATTCCCCTGATCCACCAAGCTTGTAACTCGTATCAAAAAAAGAAATGAAATTTGTTTGGCATGACTTGTTTTTGAGAAACACAGGATGGGTCTAAGTAATCATGGCATCCTTTCCACTCTTCCCCTTTTATAATGCTATATATCTTTGTGTGGGTGCAATAATTCTCCCTCTCCCACTGCGCTTAAAATATTCATTTATTGCTAAATCACACTTCCACAGAAAAGCAGCTGGCAAAACATATTTTTAAAATCATTGCCACCACCATAATCAGTGAACTTAAGAGCATCACTACAGTGGCATCAAGACCTGCTATCTCTCCCACCCCATCTAATTCTCCACTGCCTCATGGGCTGCAGAGGAATATTGATCACTCTTGGTCTCTGAAATCCATGGGAATGGCACAGTTACTGGATGAATTTGTTTTCAACCATAGAAGCTGAAATGGTTGACAGATGTTTGGAGGATTTCTTGTCTCTGGACCAGTGCTTCATCTGTTCAGAGTCATTCAAAATACAAATACTAGGCTGGCATCCGTGATGTATTCTTGGAACTGGAATGCCAAGTGAGAAATATATTTAGAACGGCAAGTGCTGAGAAAAAAAGTTTTCACGCAGCCTCTAAAAGAAGTTCATTTAAGCAGAGCTTTAAATCTAAATTTTGCACAGCTCAATAAATTGCAGGAGATGAGAACATCGCATGAAGACCTTGAGCACTGTGCGAATTCCCCATGGTGGCCAGACAGCGATAAAATGGTCTGACAAATAAATAAGAGTCTCCACTTCTCCCCATCCTTCTTTTCCATTGTGAATTGATTAATTTCACTGCTATACGGTGCTCCCCCTCTCTAAATTTGTATCCTGGTGTTGTGAGTGTGATGACACTGTGCTGTAGTATTAGCATGTCAGCTGCTGACAGCCCATGAAAAATGCTAATGCTGTCCACAAATGGATCAGTGCAAATGCATTTAGATATGACAACATATGTTTACACAGGAAAATGCTTTGCCCTTCATTTAAATCAGGCCTCATGCATACCCTAAAGCAGGAGCAAGGAACCTGTGGCCTTCCAGACCAGTGTTTCCCAAACTTGGGTCTCCAGACGTTTTTGGACGACAGCTCCCATCATCCCTAGCTAGCAGGACCAGTGGTCAGGGATGATGGGAACTGTAGTCCAAAAACAGCTGGAGACCCAGGTTTGGGAAACACTGCTTCAGACGTTGCTGGACTCCAACTCCCATCAGTCCCACCTGTTAGCCAATAAAGGGGAATGATGGGATTTGTAGTCCAAGAATAGCTGGACTACAAGTCCCATCAACCCCAACTGATATGGCCAAGGGTCAAGAACTGAGCTTGGAAAGTTCATTTTTAAAAGTAATGAGTTCAAGTTCAACATGTCCAAAAAGGAACTAATCCCAGTTTACGTTTGTCCTGGTTACCAAATTAACTAGTTTGGCTCAAGTTCAGTTCACAGTTCATCCATATGATCCTTGGCCATTTTTTTTGCCACATTCAGAATGTTACAAGCTTCTGTGGCTGAAAGCATGAAATATGCTTAAGAAGACTAAAAAAAAAAGTGCTTTCTTTAAACACACAGCAATATAAATTTTAGCCTTTCCATTTCAGCAAATTAAACGACTATACTGGACACTCCAGACCCTGGCTTCTACCTTCCGTGTTCTTCTAGTTTCCTTTAACTTTACAGAAAGTCTGGAAGGAATTAAAGCGTTATTTATTTGTGCCATCCGCTTGTAGCCACAGCACTAAGGTTCATTAGATAGACTGAAGAGCTGACTCTTGGCTTCAGAGGAAGGAAGCAACAATATTTTAAATTAAGCTGTCTACCGGGCCTGCATCCTTCTTGTTTGTATCTCTCCCATCTAAGCATAAATAACCAGGAAACAGAAGGCAGGTAGCATAATAAATTGTCAAACTACACATTTGCCTCATGTTCAGCATTTGTTCTCTTCTTCACATATCATCCATTTTAAATTAAACTTCCATCAGCCTGTAATCTTGCTTCTAGAAGATGCCCGACACTTTTAAACAACAACAGCACCACGCACACAGAGGTGTTTACAAGGATAGCTGTAATTGAAATGTTCAGCACCTACGGACCAGTGTTATTAGCAGAGGTTGCTATCAAGTTTACAAAGGAGGTTTTGGTTGGTTTGTTTTTTGCTGCTTTTCAGAAAATACGAGAAATGTCGTCTAATAAGGCCAAGAGGGACTGTGATACACTGCAGACTGACTGAATGGGGTTTGTTTTTACTCATTATAAGGTTCAGACATAGTTTCTCATATGTGCACCTCATAATAATGCACATCTATAAAATGAGATAAACAAAGGTTTAAAATAAGCCAGCTTACTCATGACTACCAACATTATTCTCCATAGGGCAGTGCTAGGTATATTCTAGGGTGCACTTTCAGTTTACTAAGGTGGCAGTGCAGAGTAAATAAGGGTGTGTTAGAGAATACATCCCAGAATCCTCCGGGATTGCTTGGTTAAAAGCCACGGGGATGAGATGAGTTTATGATCTCACCTCTGAATGAAGAGAAATGCTTTTGATGGATACAGTGGTACCTCGGTTTACAAACGCTTCAGGTTACAGATGCTTCAGGTTACAGACTCTGCTAACCCAGAAGTAGTACCTCAGGTTAAGAACTTTGCTTCAGGATGAGAACAGAAATCGTGCTCCGACGGCGCGGTGGCAGCAGGAGGCCCCATTAGCTAAAGTGGTGTCTCAGGTTAAGAAAAGTTTCAGGTTAAAAACAGACCTCCGGAACAAATCAAGTTCTTAACCCGAGGTACCACTGTACTTTACTCCATTTCCTCATTTCTAGATTTGTATTCTGGCGATGGTGAATAGGATTCTCAGTTCTGAGGTCAAAGTCACAGGTTAAAACCAGTCTAATCCTGTGTTTGTTTACTCACAGTTAAGCCCCAATATGTTGACTGGGCATACTTCCTAGTAAGTGTGCATAGGATTGTAACCCGTGCCAGATTTACGTATAAACTAAAGAAGCTATAGCTTAGGGCCCCACTCTCTTGGTGGCCCCCCAAAAATTTAAAGGGAAAAAAACTGGATGTACATTTCCAAAATATAAGACAAAAAACAAATAAAATAAAACCTACATACAGCAACAGTGTTTTGTGTTGTGTAGGCTCCTTTGATGTAAGTAATGGGCCCTGCCTGCTAGCCTGGTCCCTAAAATATCACTGGTTTACTCATTTCTATATATAGGGTGTCTACATTCTGCATGAACTGGTTGCACAGCAACATGTGCAAATAGCTTTAGATACCTATTAGGTCCATAAATTACCATACAGCATATATTCAACACACAAAAAACAGTGACAATTTGTTGTTGACAAAGGACAGCTGGACAAATAAAGGGCCCCATTACCTTCGGTAGCTTAGGGCCTCATCAAACCTAAATCCAGCCCTGATTTTAACCCCAAAACACTCAAACACGCATACCCTCCAACATTCCTCAGATGAAAATAGGGACATTCCACACACAGCTTCCCAACCGACCCTCCTCGAACTCCCATTTTTAGTCCCCATCACCACCACCGAGCATTTTCTATCAGAAGAAGGGCAAGCGCCACCACCGTGCCCATGGGACACAGCACACACACCCTCCACTGTCCTGAGAAAACCCCTGAATCCAGATTTTATTTAATCTTATTCTTTGGTGGATTTGCAGAAAGAAAAGCACACAACCAATAAATAAGTTTTTAGAAGATCAGATGCAGACACACAAAACATTTTTTTAAAATCCAGACTCCTTCGCTTTGCTTGCTCTCTGCTTCACCGGCTTCATCCTCCTCCTTGAGCTTGGCAGGGGAAACAGGGACATTCTGGGATCAAATCAGAAGTCAGGATGGGTTTCATAATTCCTGTCCCTGTAAAATCATCATCATCATCATCAATCTTTATTACGGTCCAGAGACCCAACAAATCATTACAAAGCAATACACAATTCATACAGCCTACCTCCAGGTTAAACAAGCATTTTCTTTAGAGTATAGGGATCATTGGTTCTTGCAACCACCGATAAAAACTTTGCCACTGCTAATGTTCTAGCATTTGTCCGGTCTTCCAGTAGGAACCTGACATAGTGAGCCTCTGATTTTCCCGGGAAAGGTACCAGCAAGGGTAGTATCAGTTCAGCCCTGGCTTGCTCATATTTTGCACAATGCAACAAAATATGTTTTATGGAATCGATGTCTTGAGCACACGAGCAAAGTCTGTCCTGGTAGGGAACTCCTCTCAACCTGCTATCCAACACTGCAGAAGGAAAGACGTTTAGTCTGGCTTTGGTGAAAAGCCTTCAATAGTTTGGTACTGTCAGGTTTTTGATGTAAGATGTTAACTTAAAGACAAACCCATATTGTACTCCTACTGCCAGCGGACTACAGACTGCGTGTGATTGAGATCGCAAGTCACTGTGTGCATTATCCCATAATCTTTGCTTTAACATCTTTTGGGCACCTTCATAACCCAGGTAATACAGCTGGGGGGGAGACAGACCAATAGAGGTGGCTTTTTTAGCCATGGTTTTCTGCCATGTGAGGGCGATCTGGCTGTGACATCTGTCACCCCATTGATCGCCAGGGTTGATTCAGCTGATCTGGCTGGCTAGGCGGGTGTCCCCTTCCTCCCTCACCGCTCCATGTGCGTCCCTCCCGAAGCTGCACGCTCAGTGGAAGAGGACGACCATCCCAGATAGAAGGAGTAAAATCAGTATACTTGGAGGGTATGAACACTTAGGCCACACCCACACATTTAAAGCACTATTTACCACTTTAACAGTCATGGCTCCCCCAAGAGAATCTTGGGAAGTGTAGTTTGTTATGGGTGTTGAGAATTGTTAGGAGACTCCTATTCCTTCCATATACAATTCCTAGAGTTCCCAGGGGAGAGGGGTTGACTGTCAAACCACTCTTCTTATATTTATGTAAAGGTAAAGGGACCCCTGACCATTAGGTCCAGTCGTGGCCGCCTCTGGGGTTGCGGCGCTCATCTCGCTTTATTGGCTGAGGGAGCCGGCATACAGCTTCTGGGTCATGTGGCCAGCATGACTAAGCCACTTCTGGCGAACCAGCGCAGCACATAGAAACGCCGTTTACCTTCCCGCCAGAGTGGTACCTATTTATCTACTTGCACTTTGACGTGCTTTCGAACTGCTAGGTTGGCAGGAGCAGGGACCGAGTAACGGGAGCTCACCCCGTCGTGTGGATTTGAATCGCTGACCTTCTGATCAGCAAGTCCTAGGCTCTGTGGTTTAACCCACAGCGCCACCTGCATCCCTTTCATTTATGTATAACTATCTTCTTTGTGTTTGAATGATTTGACATTGTCTGAATATTTTAGGCTGCAAACATTTGCACACTTACTTGTAAGTAAGTCCATTGAACTTAATGGGGCTTATTTCTGAATCAACTTGTATAGAATTTCATTGTCTGTGCATTTTTATATTGCTTCATTTTGTTTTAAACACAGTTTGAGAGCTTTGTAAGGGGATTGACGGCAGAAAGAATGGAAACAAACAAGGCTCAGGATGAATCCCTCTTAGAAAATTCTTCTCGTCATCAAAGCTCCTTTGGCTTCAGATATTTCACATGAGGAGGAACATCTAAATTCATCTAAATTAAGTGATTCAACCCCATGTACAATTTTATTCCAGCTAACCTTTCTGATCTTTTGTAACTATTGCATTTTGGCAATTCAAGCCACAAAGCCATTTTACTCATTAATGCCATTATTTTGCCGTTAACAATAAATGCCTTTTGTTTGGACCCAAATTGAGACTCAGTGGTTGTCCCTGAACCTGTAATGAATATGCAAGATGTGTGGGGTTAAAGGCTACAACTTTATTGAATCTTAAAGGGTCTGTCAGAGGACGCAACTATTAACTGTGTGGACCAGCTGTCTTCCTGGTTTTTACCTGGGTAGGGCCAGCCCAGCCAAGGGCACTAGATCAGATGGTTAACTGAACAGTGCCTGTTTTTTTGCCTAGTTGCTTAAAATATCACCTAAGGGGATATAGAAGAGGTCCATTCCTCCTGCTGTCTGGCATTCGAAGGGTATCTGCTTCCTGTGCCCCAAGTTTGTCTCCTCCTCTTCCCTCGGCTCTAATTTGTTGGTGATAGGGGTTGGTTGAGTTGAACATGAGTTGACGTTCTTGCAGGTTCACACCAATGTGCCCTGCTAAATACCTCCATGTTGCTGCTATTCATAATAGGCAACTCCGCTTTAGATCTGCAGTATAGACTAAACAAACAAACAAAACCAATTAGGGAGCACGAGTCAGAAAAAATCCTACTACAGTCATACCTCTGGTTGCGAACGTGATCCGTGCAGGAGGCACATTCACAACCCACAGCGTTCGCAGCCTGAAGCACCACGTCTGCTCACACATGTGACTCGATTCGGCGCTTCTGCGCATGCGCATGATATCCTTTTGCAATTCTGCGCATGCACGAGCGCCAAAACTGGAAGTAAGCCATTCCAGTACTTCCGGGTTCGGCGTGGTCCACAACCTGAAAACGCGCAACCCGCAGCGTTCGTAACCCGAGGTATGACTATAAGCAGCTGCTATAAAAGGCAACTGGCTAATCCTACATTGCTTATAGGGGTACCATGCTGGCCATGAAAGAGGAAACGGTGGGAATGGAGCCAGCTTACAAAAGCTGTTTGTGCATCTCCATGTTGACATCCCCTGTGAAGTTGAGGGAAAGTGTGTCTGTAATGGGATACACCCATTAGAATGAGCACTAGCAGGATTTACTTGCCGATTCCCCAACATTACTGGAGAAACTAATGTTACAATGCAACTTTCCCACAACTTGCCAAGATTCTGTATAAAATATCTCAGGCAATTAAGCCTCTGCAGTCATTCACTTGTCTCATCCTGGCCACCTGCAATCCACGCTACGCCACTGATGTGGCCTAACTTCTAGATATCCCAGTCCCAAGCAATTAACACCAGCACTTAGCTGGAACTGAACTAGAAACCAATGTACTTGGCTGAACTATTGAATACTTTTGAGACTTTCTCAAAATATGCCCTTCCCTGTTGACAGTGTTGTATCTGTACTTGAACCGCTTGAAGTTTCATAATAAACTTCAAGGGATAGCCCCATGTAGTCAAACCTAGTTGTTACCAGAGTATGGATCACTGTAGCCAGGCTCTCTCGGTCTGCAGGCCTAAGGAAGTGAAAGGCTTAACTGAGGTCATCATGGCTCCTCACTTTAAACCGTAGGATTTTGATACCTGTAGTGCATGTGAGTTCTGGTTGAAATAAGGTAATATTGTTGATAGTTTTTTTAGCAGACAGCCCAATTTCTTCTAATTGTTTTGTACATTTTGACAGAATATTGTTATTTATAATTATTGTAAGCTGCCCCAAATGGTGTATTACACTCAGGGCTTTTTTTCCCCAGCCGGAACTCTCCGGAACTCAGTTCTGACACCTCTCAGGTGGGAGCCATTGGCATTATAAGAGAACAAGGGAGGAGTTTATGGTGAGTTCCAGCACCTCTTTTTCTAGAAAAATAGCACTGGTTACACTAAAAGAGAGAAATATGAATGCTCTAAAATGCAAATAATGGGGGGAAATAAACGTTCTTAATGTGTTGCAGGCCTAACACAAGAGCAAATGATTCATTTAAGGGTAAAGGGGAAACTAAAGACTCCTCTAGGAAAACACATAACTGCTTAAGCCACTCAAGGTAAATTTGCATTTTGACATCCCTCATAATACTTTACATTCAGTGCAGGTGGCTATTCCCTGTGCCTAATAATCAATAACATTGTAATGAAAAGGATATATCTGTAGCAGGGGTAACCTTACCCATATAGCCAAACTGGCCCCACACAACAAAATTCACTTCAAATCTCACTTTGGGAGAAATTCCAGTTGTAACTTTGGGAAGGGGGTAATCTAAAACTACCTTTTTTTAGATAGCTACTTCTTTGCCTTTGTTTTTGCTTCTACCAAACATATTTTTCTCTCTGTGTGTGTTTATGGATATTTAGCTTTAGCGTTGTAGGAAGAAAAAGGTTCCCGGGGGAACGCTTCTTTATTTCAGGCATGCTCAGATGTTCACACAGCAATTCTGGTTTGGAAGGGAAAATGCACGTAAAAGCACTATTCGGGGTGATGTCAATGTCGTTCCCAAGAGATAGCAGCCTGTGTGATGAGAAAGGCTAAAGACTGAATGGCTACAGAGTCTAAACTTTGCAAAACACACTTCTCACCTTTAAAGGCACTTGCGGGAAACAAGAGTGTGAAGACTTTGTGTGGCAGGAATGAACTTTGCTCAGCTGCCACTTGTGAATTTATCTCTACTGTCACTAGCCGGAAGATTTGAGCTACAAGGAGCTTTTTTAATGAGCACAGCACTTGTGAAGTTTAAAAACACAGGCATGTGTGCACATGAGGTATAATACTACTACTACTAATAATAATTTTATCGTTTCCCCAGCCACTCTGGACAGCTCCCAACAGCATATTAAAAACACAATAAAACATCAAACGTTAAAAACTTCCCTGAACTTTCAGATGTCTTCTTAAAGTTGTATAGTTGTATAGTTCTTTATTTCCTTGACATCTGGTAGGAGGGCATTCCACAGGGAGGGCACCACTGCCAAGAAGACCCTCTGCCTGGTTCCCTGTAACTTTGCTTCTCGCAGTGAGGGAACCTGCAGAAGACCCTTGTAGGAGGACCTGGCTCTTACTATAACTTAAGGACTTACATTTGATACCTCCTAAGATAGGTGGATTCAAGAAGGATCCCTCTGTGTTGGAGAAGCTACCTTATGCTATGGCAAAATGTGGGATTATTCACCTGGCTGAAGCTTCTGAGTTAAATCACCTGAAAATCCATATCAGGCCATTGGTGGTGGTGGTGTTTTAAGTAGAAGGGCTCACCTGTAAAATTTACATGAAGTGAAGCAGGGCTTTTTTTCAGCCAGAACTCACCAGAATTTGGTTCCGGCACCTCTCAGGTGGGTACCATTGCCATTATAAGAAAACAAGGGAGGCGTTCGTGGTAAGTTCTGGCACCTTAGTTGTAGAAAAATCACATGGGAAGAAGGTTCTATAAAAATGAAGGACCCAGAACCTACCATTACCATTTCCTAATGAGCCAAACATGGGTGTTAAATGGAGGTGTATTTTGACACATTCTGTGTTTTATGTATGATTTTCCAGCTCTGGAACAGAAGCCTGGCTTGATGTCAGTGTGATCAAAATAGGGATGGATGATTTTTGCTAGATTCCGAATCAGACCTTATGGACAAGGATGAAGATGCTTACTGTATATTGGTCCTCTGAAGCCCAGGTGAATTAAAGATATGCATAAAGAGACAGGGACACACATGCACATGAATACAGCTCCATCGTGTGATGGGAGGAAGGTTGGAGGACAAAGAACTTGAAGTGCTAAAAGGGGAATTTTGTTTCATATGATGCTTTAGCTAACATAATACAGAATCAGGATGTACAATTCGCATGCATATCTATCGGCGTCTGTTTCTCTCTCACACACAATACAAACCTATCCACAAAGAACCACAGAAGTAGCTGGAAAGATGAACTGGAAAGTATAGGATGGATCCAGCAGGGGTCTCCTTCTGTTCCTGCTGGTGGGAATCTTGAGGGACTGCAAATGGTCATGTTGGCTGGAGTTGATAAGAGTTGGACTCCACCACTGTTTTAATAATAGAGCTGCCTTGTCAAGTCTTCCATCCAGATTCTG